TCTACTGTCCTCCAGTTCTTCAATACATTGAATATCAATAACCCGGAGTCCTGCTTTAAGAAGGGAGTGTTCGTTGACTTACTGCAGTTCTTCAGTTTTATGATGTTTCCAGACTTATACAAACATTTGACTCCCAGCCCATCGATAAAAAGACAAAACATGGAACGAGTGGTTACTGGGCACAGAGCCCATTGACACCTATCTGTCTAATAAAACCATTTTCCAATGGCAGTTGTCCCACTTCAATCCACCTACTTCATAGAATAGTACATCCCCGGTACAGGGATGGGTGTGTATAGGATAGTACATCCCGGGTATAGGGATGGGTGTGTATAGGATAGTACATCCCGGGTACAGGGATGGGTGTGTATAGGATAGTACATCCCAGGTATAGGGATGGGTGCGTATAGGATAGTACATCCCAGGTACAGCGATGGGTGTGTATAGGATAGTACATCCAAGGTAGAGGGATGGGTGCGTATAGGATAGTACATCCCGGGTATAGGGATGGGTGTGTATAGGATAGTACATCCCGGGTACAGGGATGGGTGCGTATAGGATAGTACATCCCGGGTACAGCGATGGGTGTGTATAGGATAGTACATCCCGGGTACAGGGATGGGTGTGTATAGGATAGTACATCCCGGGTACAGGGATGGGTGTGTATAGGATAGTACATCCCGGGTACAGGGATGGGTGTGTATAGGATAGTACATCCCGGGTACAGGGATGGGTGTGTATAGGATAGTACATCCTGGGTACAGGGATGGGTGTGTATATGATAGTACATCCCGGGTACAGCGATGGGTGTGTATAGGATAGTACATCCCAGGTACAGGGATGGGTGTGTATAGGATAGTACATCCCGGGTACAGCGATGGGTGTGTATAGGATAGTACATCCCAGGTACAGCGATGGGTGTGTATAGGATAGTACATCCCAGGTACAGCGATGGGTGTGTATAGGATAGTACATCCCGGGTACAGGGATGGGTGTGTATAGGATAGTACATCCCGGGTACAGGGATGGGTGTGTATAGGATAGTACATCCTGGGTACAGCGATGGGTGTGTATAGGATAGTACATCCCAGGTACAGGGATGGGTGTGTATAGGATAGTACATCCCAGGTACAGGGATGGGTGTGTATAGGATAGTACATCCCGGGTACAGCGATGGGTGTGTATAGGATAGTACATCCCGGGTACAGGGATGGGTGTGTATAGGATAGTACATCCCAGGTACAGGGATGGGTGTGTATAGGATAGTACATCCCGGGTACAGCGATGGGTGTGTATAGGATAGTACATCCCGGGTACAGGGATGGGTGTGTATAGGATAGTACATCCCGGGTACAGCGATGGGTGTGTATAGGATAGTACATCCCGGGTACAGGGATGGGTGTGTATATGATAGTACATCCCGGGTACAGGGATGGGTGTGTATATGATAGTACATCCCGGGTACAGCGATGGGTGTGTATAGGATAGTACATCCCAGGTACAGCGATGGGTGTGTATAGGATAGTACATCCTGGGTACAGGGAGGGGTGTGTATAGGATAGTACATCCCAGGTACAGCGATGGGTGTGTATAGGATAGTACATCCCGGGTACAGCGATGGGTGTGTATAGGATAGTACATCCCGGGTACAGCGATGGGTGTGTATAGGATAGTACATCCCGGGTACAGCGATGGGTGTGTATAGGATAGTACATCCCGGGTACAGGGATTGGTGTGTATAGGATAGTACATCCCGGGTACAGCGATGGGTGCGTATAGGATAGTACATCCCGGGTACAGCGATGGGGTGTGTATAGGATAGTACATCCCGGGTACAGGGATTGGTGTGTATAGGATAGTACATCCCAGGTACAGCGATGGGTGTGTATAGGATAGTACATCCCGGGTACAGCGATGGGTGCGTATAGGATAGTACATCCTGGGTACAGCAATGGGTGCGTATAGGATAGTACATCCCGGGTACAGGGATGGGTGTGTATAGGATAGTACATCCCGGGTACAGGGATGGGTGCGTATAGGATAGTACATCCCGGGTACAGGGATGGGTGTGTATAGGATAGTACATCCCGGGTACAGGGATGGGGTGTGTATAGGATAGTACATCCCGGGTACAGGGATGGGTGCGTATAGGATAGTACATCCCGGGTACAGGGATGGGTGCGTATAGGATAGTACATCCCGGGTACAGGGATGGGTGCGTATAGGATAGTACATCCCGGGTACAGGGATGGGTGTGTATAGGATAGTACATCCCAGGTACAGGGATGGGTGTGTATAGGATAGTACATCCCAGGTACAGCGATGGGTGTGTATAGGATAGTACATCCCAGGTACAGGGATGGGTGTGTATAGGATAGTACATCCCGGGTACAGCGATGGGTGCGTATAGGATAGTACATCCCAGGTACAGCGATGGGTGTGTATAGGATAGTACATTCCGGGTACAGCGATGGGTGTGTATAGGATAGTACATCCCGGGTACAGGGATGGGTGTGTATAGGATAGTACATCCCGGGTACGGCGATGGGTGTGTATAGGATAGTACATCCCAGGTACAGCGATGGGTGCGTATAGGATAGTACATCCCGGGTACAGGGATGGGTGTGTATAGGATAGTACATCCCTGTAACATGTTGTCATGTTACAATGTATTCCCCCTCCCCCATGTTGTCATGTCATTAGGGACCCTGAAACATGCCACTGGAGGGGCCCCATTCTTCAGATCACAATGTATCCGCCATCATTTGTGGATGATTTGTAGCGCTTCCAACAGGCTGCCTAATGCAATGCATGCTAAGACATGACACACATGAACGCTGTGCATATAAATGGGCCCTAAAGGATCTGAGAGTGTTCACCCAATGGCATGTATGCAGATCCACTTCAATCATCCAATCATGTGCAGAGGAATGGATGATGACAGATTTGTGTAGCCAGGTGCTTTGTTATTAATGGAGAGGCTGCAGCTGCTCTCTTAGGCTGCAGCCCTGCGGTGCTGAACTGGTTAACATCTATATCAGCCAGAGGGGGGAGCTGCTGAGCAACAAGACTTCAATAGATGGGGAGTCAGGCAGCACTGCACTGTGGGAACTGTAGTCCAGAGGAGATTCTTTTCTGTAATCAAGAGCTTCTGAACTGCCAGGAGGAGTTGAAAAGAGTTGCATTTTCTCAGACTGTACAGGACAGGGAGACTGGAGGGTGCACATTTCAGTCTAGGGTGCGCCATCACTGCTGCATATCAGAGCCTGAGCAGGATCCGGAGCGCTGAGTTTTGGGGTGCAGCCAATGTCACCTGGGTGCAGAGCAGAGAGGGGACTAATCGCTGTGCGGGACCAGTTGGTGAGCTGTAATATCATTAGGACTGGTGAGCTGCTGCTGTGGGGATTCACTAGAATGCTGGAGAGACTGAGCTCTTTAGGAACTGACCACACAGCCACCTAGTGGCCTTATTGCTGCCTGCAGGCTCGACTGGGACTGATCTCACCCACAGTATATCTGGGCCCCAACGCTAGCCGACTGCGGAGTTAGGACTAAAGACTGCCCCCTTTACTGCTTATAGTAAGAGGTACCTCTCAGGGGACAGTGCACCCTGTCCTAGCCATCCTCCTAGAGCGCCCCCTCTGGACTAGTTATGGTGTTAGTACATCACATGGTAAGTATTGGAGGTGTCATCCCACTTTATATGGGACTTTATTTCTGATGTTTTGTAGTTGGTGATGAATGAATAGCTGAGTCCTGAGCGCTGAGTCCTGAGTGCTGAGTCCTGAGTGCTGAGTCCTGAGTCCTGAGCGCTGAGTCCTGAGTGCTGAGTCCTGAGTGCTGAGTGCTGAGTCCTGAGTCCTGAGTCCTGAGTGCTGAGTCCTGAGTGCTGAGTCCTGAGTGCTGAGTCCTGAGTGCTGAGTCCTGAGCGCTGAGTCCTGAGCGCTGAGTCCTGAGCGCTGAGTCCTGAGCGCTGAGTCCTGAGTCCTGAGTGCTGAGTCCTGAGCGCTGAGTCCTGAGCGCTGAGTCCTGAGCGCTGAGTCCTGAGCGCTGAGTCCTGAGCGCTGAGTCCTGAGTCCTGAGTGCTGAGTCCTGAGTGCTGAGTCCTGAGTGCTGAGTCCTGAGTCCTGAGTGCTGAGTCCTGAGTGCTGAGTCCTGAGTGCTGAGTCCTGAGTGCTGAGTCCTGAGTGCTGAGTCCTGAGTCCTGAGTGCTGAGTCCTGAGTGCTGAGTCCTGAGTCCTGAGTGCTGAGTCCTGAGTGCTGAGTCCTGAGTCCTGAGTGCTGAGTCCTGAGTCCTTCCTCCTCCTCCTCTCTCTCTCATTCTCCATTGTGCTGCTGTTGGTGGTATTAATATCTTCTTGGTGTTTGAACAGTCGGATTACTTTGTATTTGTTTTGGATTTATTAGGATGATTGGTAATAGGAAGCTCGAGTTTCATGACGGGTGTGGAAGTTTCACTTTTAGGCATTAAATGACCTCGTCACCTGGGACTCTGATCCCAACATTGGAGGACATTGTGAAATCATGAAGACATATCTTACCTGGGAGGAGTAATGGGGGAAACGTTCGGGAGCAGAGATCGTCCGTGCTGCACATGTGTCTTCATGAACTCACCATGCGTGTCCATTGCATTGCCTCCATGTAGAAAAAAGTCAGGGTTCCATAGGAGGTGTTGGCCTGACGTGTACATTTATATCATACCAATGTTCTAGACCCCCAATGTAAGAAACATTCTTCCCACTGACCCCCAATGTAAGAAACATTCTTCCCACTGACCCCCAATGTAAGGGACATTCTTCCCACTGATCCCCAATGTAAGGGACATTCTTCCCACTGACCCTCAATGTAAGGGACATTCTTCCCACTGACCCCCCAATGTAATGGACATTCTTCCCACTGATCCCCAATGTAAGGGACATTCTTCCCACTGACCCCCAATGTAAGGGACATTCTTCCCACTGACCCCCAATGTAAGGGACATTCTTCCCACTGACCCCCAATGTAAGGGACATTCTTCCCACTGACCCCCAATGTAAGAAACATTCTTCCCACTGACCCCCAATGTAAGGGACATTCTTCCCACTGACCCCCAATGTAAGGGACATTCTTCCCACTGACCACCAATGTAAGGGACATTCTTCCCACTGACCCCCAATGTAAGGGACATTCTCCCCACTGACCCCCAATGTAAGGGACATTCTTCCCACTGACCCCAATGTAAGGGACATTCTTCCCACTGACCCCCAATGTAAGGGACATTCTTCCCACTGACCCCCAATGTAAGGGACATTCTTCCCACTGACCCCCAATGTAAGGGACATTCTTCCCACTGATCCCCAATGTAAGGGACATTCTTCCCACTGATCACCAATGTAAGGGACATTCTTCCCACTGACCCCCCAATGTAAGGGACATTCTTCCCACTGACCCCCAATGTAAGGGACATTCTTCCCACTGACCCCCAATGTAAGGGACATTCTTCCCACTGACCCCCCCAATGTAAGGGACATTCTTCCCACTGACCCCCAATGTAAGGGACATTTTCCCACTGACCCCCAATGTAAGGGACATTCTTCCCACTGACCCCCAATGTAAGGGACATTCTTCCCACTGACCCCCAATGTAAGGGACATTCTTCCCACTGACCCCCAATGTAAGGGACATTCTTCCCACTGACCCCCAATGTAAGGGACATTCTTTCCAATCCTCATGAAGGACTAATCCTAACAGGGATTCCCTGAAATCTCCTCCAGTACTAACAGATCCACTCTTGTGTCACCCCTCCATTCCTCGCCAACTTCTCCATTGGTTCTTCAGGGTCCAAAGTCTCCCCTATGTGGGTCGTTGGGTGACCACCAATGATCTGTGCATACCCACTGGAGGTCTATTATTCCGGCACTTGGCTCCATTCTCAGAATCATACTGGAAGTGTGACATGTGAGGGGTAGGTGGTTGGCAAACAGAGACCTACAAAGTATCTGCCACCAAAACACTCTTCCCTGACCCCTGTCCCTTTAAAAAGTCCTGAATGTAAAATGTTCTGGGGGGGTCAGCTAAGAAACATTGGAGGTCATTTTTGGATCGGAAGATTTTCCTTTATTGGAAGATGAATTCCTGGTGATTGTCCCTGAGGCCTCACAATGGTCACCTCTGAGGAGCGCCACCACCACATCTTGTCTCCTGTCTCTCTCGATCTCGGTGTCGGATACATTGTAGCTCTTTCCTAGAATCCAATACAAGAACCTCGTATCTGTGACACCCAGTATCTGTGACACCACCACCCCGTATCTGTGACACCCAGTATCTGTGACACCCCGTATCTGTGACACCCAGTATCTGTGACACCCAGTATCTGTGACACCTAGTATCTGTGACACCCCGTATCTGTGACACCCAGTATCTGTGACACCCAGTATCTGTGACACCCCGTATCTGTGACACCCCGTATCTGTGACACCCAGTATCTGTGACACCTAGTATCTGTGACACCCAGTATCTGTGACACCCAGTATCTGTGACACCTAGTATCTGTGACACCCCGTATCTGTGACACCCAGTATCTCTGTGACACAACCCCGTATCTGTGACACCCCGTATCTGTGACACCTAGTATCTGTGACACCCCCGTATCTGTGACACCCAGTATCTGTGACACCCCGTATCTGTGACACCCAGTATCTGTGACACCTAGTATCTGTGACACCCCGTATCTGTGACACCCAGTATCTGTGACACCCAGCATCTGTGACACCCCGTATCTGTGACACCCAGTATCTGTGACACCCCGTATCTGTGACACCCAGTATCTGTGACACCCCGTATCTGTGACACCCAGTATCTGTGACACCCAGTATCTGTGACACCCCGTATCTGTGACACCCAGTATCTGTGACACCGTATCTGTGACACCCGTATCTGTGACACCCAGTATCTGTGACACCCCGTATCTGTGACACCCAGTATCTGTGACGCCCCGTATCTGTGACACCCCGTATCTGTGACACCCCGTATCTGTGACGCCCAGTATCTGTGACACCCCGTATCTGTGACACCCAGTATCTGTGACACCCAGTATCTGTGACACCCCGTATCTGTGACACCTCGTATCTGTGACACCCAGTATCTGTGACACCTAGTATCTGTGACACCCCGTATCTGTGACGCCCCGTATCTGTGACGCCCAGTATCTGTGACACCCCGTATCTGTGACACCCAGTATCTGTGACACCTAGTATCTGTGACACCCCGTATCTGTGACACCCAGTATCTGTGACACCCCGTATCTGTGACACCCAGTATCTGTGACACCCCGTATCTGTGACGCCCAGTATCTGTGACACCCAGTATCTGTGACGCCCAGTATCTGTGACACCCCGTATCTGTGACACCCCGTATCTGTGACACCCAGTATCTGTGACACCCAGTATCTGTGACACCCCGTATCTGTGACACCCCGTATCTGTGACGCCCAGTATCTGTGACGCCCAGTATCTGTGACACCCCCGTATCTGTGACACCCAGTATCTGTGACACCCCGTATCTGTGACACCCAGTATCTGTGACACCCCGTATCTGTGACACCCCGTATCTGTGACACCCAGTATCTGTGACACCTAGTATCTGTGACACCCTGTATCTGTGACACCCAGTATCTGTGACACCCCGTATCTGTGACACCCAGTATCTGTGACACCCAGTATCTGTGACACCCCGTATCTGTGACGCCCCGTATCTGTGACGCCCCGTATCTGTGACGCCCAGTATCTGTGACGCCCCGTATCTGTGACGCCCAGTATCTGTGACGCCCCGTATCTGTGACACCTAGTATCTGTGACACCCCGTATCTGTGACACCCAGTATCTGTGACACCCAGTATCTGTGACACCCAGTATCTGTGACACCCCGTATCTGTGACACCTAGTATCTGTGACACCCCCGTATCTGTGACACCCAGTATCTGTGACACCCCGTATCTGTGACACCCAGTATCTGTGACACCTCGTATCTGTGACACCCCGTATCTGTGACACCCAGTATCTGTGACACCCCGTATCTGTGACACCCAGTATCTGTGACACCCCGTATCTGTGACACCCAGTATCTGTGACACCCAGTATCTGTGACACCCCGTATCTGTGACACCCAGTGTATGATTCACAGACCTCTGCCATCGTTTCCTCGCCTATCATTTGTGGAGTTAATGATGTTTTCTTATTATTTGTTACCAATTATCGTTTTATTGTTCAGCAGTTTGCAGTCCACGTTGTAGGTGAGAGTTGAGGGACTCTGGAATTGGTTGACTTTTGGGCTCCAATGTTTGTAGTAATGGGACTTATCTGAGGACCGGTTCTGTGCTTTCTGCTCCGAGACGGATCGGGGAGAAGATATGGAAGAACACATTCATTGAAGGTCTAGAGAATTCATGAAGAGTGTGTCTCCTCCTAACCTGCAATGGGGGGTGATGTTTAGGGGGCTTCACCCAAGTGTAGTCCCTCCAGTTCCGGCCAGCCAGGAAGTCCTGTTTTAGGGCTTTTTGGTGACTTTTTGGATGAGAATGAAAGTTGATGAGATGAGGGTTCCCCACAGAGGGGGTTCAGCTTCACCCAGCATTCATAGCAGAACGTTCCTCCTGGATATATATCTGCCCACCTCAGACTGCTCAGCTCTCACCCTAGAATGCAGACTCCCAATCCAGACCACAATGGTGCTCCCTGCAGCCCCCGGAACTCCTGGAGTCAGCCTGGCCAGTGCAGACGTTCACCTGCTGCTCCCTACTGCTCTGGTCCACACCTTGGCTGGTGGGCAGGGGGCCTCTTGTCTCCTGGGTGGAGCCCTGAATCACTGTCAGGTCCCCAATTGTGGAGACTGTGCACACACCTGGATGGAGGGCTTAACTAGAACCTTCAGGGTCCCGGTGCAAGAAAACCATGAAGGGCCCCCCTGACCTCTGGTCCTGGGGCCCTTCCCAACAATCCCGGGGCCTTTACTCCAATCCCGGGGCCCTTTTACATGTCTAGCGGCTGGCCCCCTTCCTGCCGTCTTAGGTAGGGTTGCCACCTTTTCTCCAAGCCAAGCCCGAACCTGGCGCACAGCCAATATTCTGTTTTGTAGCAGACACTATACATATATTTTGTGATCAAATAACATTTCTAATCATATGGCGTTCATCCCCCCTAACATCAGAGTCCACAGAGTTCCCCCTTTACATCCGAATCCACAGAGTTCCCCTTTAAATTTAAATCCACAGAGTTCCCCTTTACATCTAAATCCACAAGGTTCCCCTTTACATCTGAATAAGCAGAGCTCTCCTTTACATTTGAATCCACAGAGTTCCCCTTTACATTTGGATCCATAGAGTTCCCCTTTACATCTAAATCAGCAGAGTTCCCCTTTACATCTGAGTCCCCAGAGATCCCCTTTACATCTGAATACGCAGTGTTCCCCTTTAAATTTGAATCCACAGAGTTCCCCTTTAAATATGAAGTGGTAGCGTTCCTGTTTACATCTGAACTGGCAGAGATCCCCTTTACATCTGAATCTACAGAGTTCCCCTTTACATCTGAACCCACAGAGTTCCCCTTTACATCTGAATGAGCAGAGTTCCCCTTCACATCTGAATCCACAGAATTCCCCTTTACATCTAAATCTGCAGAGCTCCTCTTTACAACTGAATCCACAGCGTTCTCCTTTACATCTGAATCCACAGAGTTCCCCTTTACTTTAGGATCCATAGAGTTCCCATTTATATCTGAGTCCACAGAGTTCCCCTTTACATTTGGATCCACAGAGTTCCCCTTTACATCCCAATCCACAAAGTTACCCTTGTATCTGATCTGGCAGAGTTCCCCTTAAATCTGATTCCCCAGAGCTCCCCTTTACATCTAAATCTGCAGAATCCCCCTTTAAATTGGAATCCGCAGAGATTCCCCCTTACATCTGAACATGTAGAGCTATCCTTAATCTGAATCTGCAGAGTTCCCCTTAAACTGGTCACAACAGTAACATCGGTCTGTAGATGCAGTAAAGCATGCTTGTTATACTCACTGTGTAACCGAAGGGGTTAATCCATTGTGTAGAAAGGCTGTTTGATCCTGTCTTCTCTGCTCCTCCCCTTCTTCTACTGTCCCCAATCCACCTGCTGACAAAACAGGACCTTGGGGGCACTCTGCACATGCTCAGTTTAAAGTGTATGTCTAAAGAGTTTTTTTTTGTGAGAGTGAACAGCACAGGGCCAATTAGCGCCAACTAGACAGAGCGTCAGGGGTCAGGGATCATGCAGCCTCATAGGACAGTCAAGGCAGAATGAAAACTCCTCCTACAAGATTAACCAGTGCTCTGCTGGACACGGATAGAAGTCACAAGGCTGTAATATATTGCTGATGAGAAAAGGGATTTAGTAGTTTATATTTACTAAAATAATTGCATTTCCATGTTCTGTGTACTGTGGGAGACCAGATATAGTGAATGCGGGGTCCGGGGAGAGCGGATATAGTGAATGCGGGGTCCGGGGAGAGCGGATATAGTGAGTGCGGGGTCCGGGGAGGGCGGATATAGTGAATGCGGGGTCCGGGGAGAGCGGATATAGTGAATGCGGGGTCCGGGGAGAGCGGATATAGTGAATGCGGGGTCCGGGGAGACCAGATATAGTGAATGCGGGGTCCGGGGAGAGCGGATATAGTGAATGCGGGGTCCGGGGAGAGCGGATATAGTGAATGCGGGGTCCGGGGAGACCAGATATAGTGAATGCGGGGTCCGGGGAGAGCGGATATAGTGAATGCGGGGTCCGGGGAGAGCGGATACAGTGAATGCGGGGTCCGGGGAGAGCGGATATAGTGAATGCGGGGTCCGGGGAGAGCGGATATAGTGAATGCGGGGTCCGGGGAGACCAGATACGGTGAATGCGGGGTCCGGGGAGAGCGGATATAGTGAATGCGGGGTCCGGGGAGAGCGGATACAGTGAATGCGGGGTCCGGGGAGAGCGGGTATAGTGAATGCGGGGTCCGGGGAGAGCGGATATAGTGAATGCGGGGTCCGGGGAGAGCGGATATGGTAAATGCGGGGTCCGGGGAGAGCGGATATAGAGAATGCGGGGTCCGGGGAGAAGGGATATAGAGAATGCGGGGTCCAGGGAGAGGGAGAATGCGGGTCCGGGGAGAGCGGATATGGTGAATGCGGGGTCCGGGGAGAGCGGATATAGTGAATGCGGGGTCCGGGGAGAGCGGATATAGTGAATGCGGGGTCCGGGGAGACCAGATATAGTGAATGCGGGGTCCGGGGAGAGCGGATATAGTGAATGCGGGGTCCGGGGAGAGCGGATACAGTGAATGCGGGGTCCGGGGAGAGCGGTATAGTGAATGCGGGGTCCGGGGAGAGCGGATATATAGTGAATTGCGGGGTCCGGGGAGAGCGGATATAGAGAATGCGGGGTCCGGGGAGAGCGGATATGGTAAATGCGGGGTCCGGGAGAGCGGATATGGTAAATGCGGGGTCCGGGGAGAGCGGATATATCCGGGAGAAGGGATATGAATGCGGGGTCCGGGAGAGCGGATATGGTGAATGCGGGGTCCGGGGAGGGGAGCGAGCGGATAGCGGTGAATGCGGGGTCCGGGGAGGAGAGCGGATATAGTGAATGCGGGGTCCGGGGAGAGCGGATATGGTGAATGCAGGGTCCGGGGGGGAGAGGATATGGTGAGAGCGGATATGGTGAATGCGGGGTCCGGGGAGAGCGGATATGGTGAATGCGGGGTCCGGGGAGAGGGATATGGTGAATGCGGGGTCCGGGGAGAGCGGATATGGTGAATGCGGGGGGAGCGGATATGGTGAATGCGGGGTCCGGGAGAGAGCGGATATGGTGAATGCGGGGTCCGGGGAGAGCGGATATAGTGAATGCGGGGTCCGGGGAGAGCGGATATAGTGAATGCGGGGTCCGGGGAGAGCGGATATAGTGAATGCGGGGTCCGGGGAGAGCGGATATAGTGAATGCGGGGTCCGGGGAGAGCGGGAGAGAGCGGATATGGTGAAAGCAAGCGATGTAAGGGAGAACTCTGGGGACTCTGATTTAGGAAGGAACACTGATGTAAGGAGGGGACTCTGATGTAAGGGGGAATGCTACAGACTCTGGTGTAAAGGGTAACTCTAAGGGGTGTCTGCTAACCAGAGCCCCCACTTACAGTATAGTTCCCACTGTAACCCCATGGCACCACCATTGATTTCTAAATTCGACCAATCGATCCTTGGCTCTCACCTCGTGTTGCTGCAGAACAGAATGTTCTTTCTTTCCAGGCGACGGCTCATCTCTCTCATTTATATTTCCGGCACGATTCTCCCATCATGGATTCGAAATTCATTCGTTTTTAAAAAAACTTCCAACACGCCGATCACTCAAAGTCAATGGTCACAGGAAAATCGTCCGTTTCTGTGACCCGCTAATGGGGCGAAATTCAAAGGAAAATTCTTAGAAAAGATTCTTATGAAAGAAAATTCTTTAGGAATTGGAGCCGCTGATGGCCGACTTTACTCCTTAACCTCTTCCTGCCCGGAGTATGGCCGACTTTACTCTGTAACCTCTTCCTGCCCGGAGTATGGCCGACTTTACTCCTTAACCTCTTCCTGCCCGGAGTATGGCCGACTTTACTCCTTAACCTCTTCCTGCCCGGAGTATGGCCGACTTTACTCTGTAACCTCTTCCTGCCCGGAGTATGGCCGACTTTACTCCTTAACCTCTTCCTGCCCGGAGTATGGCCGACTTTACTCCTTAACCTCTTCCTGCCCGGAGTATGGCCGACTTTACTCCTTAACCTCTTCCTGCCCGGCGTATGGCCGACTTTACTCCTTAACCTCTTCCTGCCCGGCGTATGGCCGACTTTACTCTGTAACCTCTTCCTGCCCGGAGTATGGCCGACTTTACTCCTTAACCTCTTCCTGCCCGGCGTATGGCCGACTTTACTCTGTAACCTCTTCCTGCCCGGCGTATGGCCGACTTTACTCTGTAACCTCTTCCTGCCCGGCGTATGGCCGACTTTACTCCTTAACCTCTTCCTGCCCGGCGTATGGCCGACTTTACTCCTTAACCTCTTCCTGCCCGGAGTATGGCCGACTTTACTCCTTAACCTCTTCCTGCCCGGCGTATGGCCGACTTTACTCCTTAACCTCTTCCTGCCCGGCGTATGGCCGACTTTACTCCTTAACCTCTTCCTGCCCGGCGTATGGTCGACTTTACTCCTTAACCTCTTCCTGCCCGGAGTATGGCCGACTTTACTCCTTAACCTCTTCCTGCCCGGAGTATGGCCGACTTTACTCCTTAACCTCTTCCTGCCCGGAGTATGGCCGACTTTACTCCTTAACCTCTTCCTGCCCGGAGTATGGCTGACTTTACTCTGTAACCTCTTCCTGCCCGGAGTATGGCCGACTTTACTCCTTAACCTCTTCCTGCCCGGAGTATGGCCGACTTTACTCTTTAACCTCTTCCTGCCCGGCGTATGGCCGACTTTACTCCTTAACCTCTTCCTGCCCGGCGTATGGCCGACTTTACTCCTTAACCTCTTCCTGCCCGGCGTATGGCCGACTTTACTCCTTAACCTCTTCCTGCCCGGCGTATGGCCGACTTTACTCTGTAACCTCTTCCTGCCCGGAGTATGGCCGACTTTACTCCTTAACCTCTTCCTGCCCGGCGTATGGCCGACTTTACTCCTTAACCTCTTCCTGCCCGGCGTATGGCCGACTTTACTCTGTAACCTCTTCCTGCCCGGAGTATGGCCGACTTTACTCCTTAACCTCTTCCTGCCCGGCGTATGGCCGACTTTACTCTGTAACCTCTTCCTGCCCGGCGTATGGCCGACTTTACTCCTTAACCTCTTCCTGCCCGGCGTATGGCCGACTTTACTCTGTAACCTCTTCCTGCCCGGCGTATGGCCGACTTTACTCCTTAACCTCTTCCTGCCCGGCGTATGGCCGACTTTACTCCTTAACCTCTTCCTGCCCGGAGTATGGCCGACTTTACTCCTTAACCTCTTCCTGCCCGGCGTATGGCCGACTTTACTCCTTAACCTCTTCCTGCCCGGCGTATGGCCGACTTTACTCCTTAACCTCTTCCTGCCCGGCGTATGGCCGACTTTACTCCTTAACCTCTTCCTGCCCGGAGTATGGCCGACTTTACTCCTTAACCTCTTCCTGCCCGGAGTATGGCCGACTTTACTCCTTAACCTCTTCCTGCCCGGAGTATGGCCGACTTTACTCCTTAACCTCTTCCTGCCCGGAGTATGGCCGACTTTACTCCTTAACCTCTTCCTGCCCGGAGTATGGCCGACTTTACTCCTTAACCTCTTCCTGCCCGGAGTATGGCCGACTTTACTCTTTAACCTCTTCCTGCCCGGCGTATGGCCGACTTTTACTCCTTAACCTCTTCCTGCCCGGCGTATGGCCGACTTTACTCCTTAACCTCTTCCTGCCCGGCGTATGGCCGACTTTACTCCTTAACCTCTTCCTTCCTGACTTTACCCTTAACCTCTTCCTGCCCGGCGTATGGCCGACTTTACTTTACTCTGTAACCTCTTCCTGCCCGGACGTATGGCCGACTTTACTCCTTTAACCTCTTCCTGCCCCGGCGTATGGCCGACTTTTACTCCTTAACTCCTCTTCCTGAGTATGGCCGGACTCCTTAACCTCTTGGCCCGGAGTATTACTCCTTAACCTCTTCCTGCCCGGAGTATGGCCGACTTTACTCCTTAACCTCTTCCTGCCCGGAGTATGGCCGACTTTACTCCTTAACCTCTTCCTGCCCGGCGTATGGCCGACTTTACTCCTTAACCTCTTCCTGCCCGGAGTATGGCCGACTTTACTCCTTAACCTCTTCCTGCCCGGAGTATGGCCGACTTTACTCCTTAACCTCTTCCTGCCCGGCGTATGGCCGACTTTACTCTTAACCTCTTCCTGCCCGGAGTATGGCCGACTTTACTTTACTTCCGTATTAACCTCTTCCTGCCCGGCGTATGGCCGACTTTACTCCTTAACCTCTTCCTGCCCGGCGTATGGCCGACTTTACTCCTTAACCTCTTCCTGCCCGGCGTATGGCCGACTTTACTCCTTAACCTCTTCCTGCCCGGCGTATGGCCGACTTTACTCCTTAACCTCTTCCTGCCCGAGTATGGCCGTAATGCCCGGAGTATGGCCGACTTTACTCCTTAACCTCTTCCTGCCCGGAGTATGGCCGACTTTACTCCTTAACCTCTTCCTGCCCGGCGTATGGCCGACTTTTAACCTCTTCCTTAACTCCTCTTCCTGCCCGGAGTATGGCCGACTTTACTCCTTAACCTCTTCCTGCCTTCCTGCCCGGAGTATGGCCGACTTTACTCCTTAACCTCTTCCTGCCCGGAGTATGGCCGACTTTACTCCTTAAACCTGCCCGACTTTACTCTTAACCTCTTCCTGCCCCGTACTTTACTCCTTAACCTCTTCCTGCCCGGCGTATGGCCGACTTTACTGCCCTGTAACCTCTTCCTGCCCGGATGGCCGACTTTATGGCCGACTTTACTCCTTAACCTCTTCCTGCCCGGAGTATGGCCGACTTTACTCTTAACCTCTTCCTGCCCGGAGTATGGCCGACTTTACTCCTTAACCTCTTCCTGCCCGGCGTATGGGCCGACTTTACTCCTTAACCTCTTCCTGCCCGGAGTATGGCCGACTTTACTCTTAACTCTTAACCTCTTCCTGCCCGGAGTATGGACTTTACCGACTTTACTCCTTAACCTCTTCCTGCCCGGAGTATGGCCGACTTTACTCCTTAACCTCTTCCTGCCCGGAGTATGGCCGACTTTACTCCTTAACCTCTTCCTGCCCGGAGTATGGCCGACTTTACTCCTTAACCTCTTCCTGCCCGGAGTATGGCCGACTTTACTCCTTAACCTCTTCCTGCCCGGCGTATGGCCGACTTTACTCCTTTACCTCTTCCTGCCCGGAGTATCTTTTACTCTTAACCTCTTCCTGCCCGGCGTATGGCCGACTTTACTCTTTAACCTCTTCCTGCCCGGAGTATGGCCGACTTTACTCTGTAACCTCTTCCTGCCCGGAGTATGGCCGACTTTACTCTTTAACCTCTTCCTGCCCGGCGTATGGCCGACTTTACTCTCCTTAACCTCTTCCTGCCCGGAGTATGGCCGACTTTACCTTAACCTCTTCCTGCCCGGAGTATGGCCGACTTTACTCCTTAACCTCTTCCTGCCCGGAGTATGGCCGACTTTACTCCTTAACCTCTTCCTGCCCGGCGTATGGCCGACTTTACTCCTTAACCTCTTCCTGCCCGGAGTATGGCCGACTTTACTCCTTAACCTCTTCCTGCCCGGAGTATGGCCGACTTTACTCCTTAACCTCTTCCTGCCCGGAGTATGGGACTTTACTCCTTAACTTTGGCCGACCTCTTCCTGCCCGGAGTATGGCCGACTTTACTCTTAACCTCTTCCTGCCCGGAGTATGGCCGACTTTACTCCTTAACCTCTTCCTGCCCGGAGTATGGCCGACTTTACTCCTTAACCTCTTCCTGCCCGGAGTATGGCCGACTACTTTACTTTAACCTCTTCCTGCCCGGAGTATGGCCGACTTTACTCTGTAACCTCTTCCTGCCCCGTATGGCCGACTTTACTCCTTTAAACCTCTTCCTGCCCGGAGTATGGCCGACTTTACTCCTTAACCTCTTCCTGCCCGGAGTATGGCCGACTTTACTCTTAACCTCTTCCTGCCCGGAGTATGGCCGACTTTACTCCTTAACCTCTTCCTGCCCGGAGTATGGCCGACTTTACTCCTTAACCTCTTCCTGCCCGGAGTATGGCCGACTTTACTCCTTAACCTCTTCCCTGCCCGGAGTATGGCCGACTTTACTCCTTAACCTCTTCCTGCCCGGCGTATGGCCGACTTTACTCCTTAACCTCTTCCTGCCCGGAGTATGGCCGACTTTACTCCTTAACCTCTTCCTGCCCGGAGTATGGGCCGACTTTACCTAACCTCTTCCTGCCCGGAGTATGGCCGACTTTACTCCTTAACCTCTTCCTGCCCGGCGTATGGCCGACTTTACTCCTTGCCCGGAATGGCCTCTTCTCTGCCCTTCCTGCCCGGAGTATGGCCGTAATGCCCGGCGTATGGCCGACTTTACTCCTTAACCTCTTCCTGCCCGGAGTATGGCCGACTTTA